TTTGCAGCAGACTTCAGAAAAGTTTAGATATTTTCTCTTCTTATTTACAAAAATGGAAGATTTCTCCCAACGCTTCCAAAACTCAACTTATAATATTTCCACATAAGCCCAGGGCTTCCTTTTTGAAACCTAGTAGTAGTCACATAGTCACTATGAACGGAGTTCCAATTTCCTGGTCAAACCAAGTGAAATATCTTGGATTAATACTTGACCATAAATTAACTTTTAAAGATCACATTGAGAGCATTCAAGCCAAATGTAACAAATATATAAAATGTTTGTATCCTCTTATTAACAGGAAATCCAAACTTTGCCTGACGAATAAACTTCTAATATTTAAACAAGTTTTTAGACCGGCCATGCTTTACGCTGTGCCAATATGGTCTAGTTGTTGCACTACCAGGAAAAAAGCACTTCAAAGGATTCAGAACAAAATTCTGAAGATGATTTTGAAGTTGCCTCCCTGGTACAGTACTACCGAAGTACATAGAATTTCGAATGTTGAGACTTTAGCACAAATGTCCAACAAAATAATTAATAATTTCCGGCAAAAATCGTTACAATCCTCAATTGCAACGATTAATTCCCTTTATACTTAGATAAGATTTAGTTTTAGTTATTTAGTTTTAAGCTATCAATTGTTATACTGACATGCAGGTTTAAAAAACCTGTTTAAAATACTGAATTGCCAAGACAGGAACAATGTAAAAACACTTAGATATATATCATAACAATTAAGGCTGGTAAGTTACTGTAGTAACTGGAGCACCTAGGTTAAAAATGAAATGTAATTTATTTTGAATTTGGAACAAATAAAGAGTTAAAAAAAAAAAAAAAAAAAAACGATCTCCATAATAAAAATGGTGTTAACAAAATTTGATATGCGTTGAGTCGTTCAAGGTGGCGATTGTTCTGGCGAAGCTGGTGGAAATGAATTAGGGAATGAATAGTACGATGGTAACCACCACGTATATCTATGCTGAAGGCCAAGGATGAAGTGATTTCTCGATTGGATTCCCGGGGGAGCTTAAATTAAAATAGATGACGGACCACTCGTCTATAATTGGTTGCGGGCGCAAATACATCAAGCGCGTCATAGAGGAGACAAAAAAAATGACAAATGAGAACATCTGAAATAAGAAGCAGTCAAAATCGTTAAACCACAGACAATCAGACATAACACATTGAATACTTCTATCTGTAAAACATCGTCGCTAAAACATTACCGCCATCTGTTGAGTGCACTGTGGTGGGTAGTACGATGGACAGATGGCGGTAGTGTGTAAACGTCAAACACAAGGGAATTGGCTATGCGCGCCACAGGTGGCAGTATTACCAACTGAGATACTTTTAAATTGACCGTTAAATGCTTGTTCGATGAACAACTTGTGAGTGTTATGTCTGTTTGTCTGTGGTTAAACTGTTTATTTTTTAATCTGAATTTGAAAGAATTAATGAAACACACTCGATTCAGTCCAATGGAAATGAAAAGAATCATAAATTTGAAACTGAACCCCAAATTTCCAAACGTTGAATGTGAAAATTCACAGATTTTGAATGGTGCCAGTATTGCACGAATCCGACGATATATCTCGCTCTCTCATTTGTGGAGAGTCGATCGAATATTATTGGGCAGGTGTGGGATGAGCAGAATGACCAGTGAACCGGGAAATCGGGAAAAAGCTGGGAATTTAAATGACAAATCGGGGAAAAAATTACTTCATCTATTTTTCAGAAAAAAAGATTTTGGGGCTTTGAAAAGTTTTAAGATTCTTGGACCAGACTTAACTTTTTTGGAATTTTGAGTAGATTTTAGAATGAATGTCAGGGATAACAAGTCATTTCAGATGATATTAAAGGTAGTTTTAGAAAGAGATTTTAGACTTTCACTCCAAGTCACTTTTGTGAGTTCAAATTCAGGGTAGAATTTTGAAATATAAATCTGTGGAGAATTGCAAATCGGTTGTGAAGATCGCAGTATCGTGACCGGACCGAGGTTTCCAGCCTCGGTAACGGCTACACGAATCCGCGATTCTGCTATTCCTGCAGCTGCTGCCGCTTCTGCTGGCTTTCACAAATTTCGTTTGCGTGTTTAGAATTAAAGGTTTTTAGAGTTTCGTCGTGGAATCGATACATTCTATTAGTAGAGGGCTTTTGTAGTCCAGCTATCACCATCCAAACATTATTTTTCACTGCGCATTGACTAAAATGGCTACTTCGATGTTTTTCTTTCGTACTGTTTTATTTCAGTTGCACGCATCCCCATGACAATTTAAATCACCCTCGCATCCAATGCAATCCCATTAGGAATCCCATATATTTTTTTTATCCTTACTCTATTCTCGTCAAGACAACAAACTGAAAAAACTCTCTTCAATTACATTATTTTTACAGGCAAGCATGGTAAAATAGAATTAATCTGAATGAGTGTCGTTCCCCCTGATTGGCTCAGATTTTGGCAGTTCATTTGGCTCAAAATATTCCCTTCGCCCATCTCTCCCTCTGAGTATTTCTACTGGAAAGTTATCGATTAACCCTGCTATCCGAGCGTGGTTACTTCTGACATTATTCTGACAGACAAGAAGTTAAAGTTTGACAACTCTAGGTAGAGCTGGAATTAGGGCGTAACAGCTTTAGTAAACAATGACTTCTCTCGATGATTTCTCGGAAATCATGCCTCTCCCTGGCAAATCGACATCACCATCGAGTAGAGGAAGACTTCTCCTACCCGATGGATATGTTGGTTTGTGTAGGCGTGCCTTGAATTCCGAGAAATCAACAAGAGAAGTCATTGTTTACAAAGGCTGTTACGCCCTAACTCCAGCTCTACCTAAAGCTGTGGCTGAGTTCTTCTCGAAAACCGGTCGATCGACAGCACAGGGATTTTCGAAAATATAAAATAACTTTCGAAATGTCACTTTTAACCATGAGTTAAATTTAACTCGACAAATGGTTCACAGCCTATGTTGATTTTCATTGGCATAGCAAAAATGTGATTTCGACAGTGAGCATGCATAGGGGCGTAAACGCGATGATCGATTCTCTTTGTCAATTTTCTCTTTTGTTAATAAATCGCTATAATTAATGTTTCTCGATGCGTTTGCTGTTGCTTTTGATAGCCAATACAACCTGTTACAACTCTGAATTGAACAAATTCTAGAAAATTGTTTCGCTTAGCTGTAGCAATGCGAAGAGAAAATCGATGAAGAGAATCGATCATCGCTTATACGCCCTCTTGCATGGACACCAACAATGTCATATATAAAGACTTCTGTACACGAAAAAAGTGCTCACCCTTTTTAATTGTATCCAAAAAATATCAAATGAAGTATAAATGAAGTATTTCGTGAAGCTACAATGAATGCAATAACTAGTTAATGTTTGTAACTATTTTTATATCTAATAAGATTAGAAAAATCATTATTATAATTAAAGTTACAAGGGTTCAAAAAAGATAGTGTCCACCTTTATCGTGTACAAAAGTCTGTATATCTGCAGATGGCCATGGCATCGTTGATGGTCACTGTCGATTTTTTAATGAGGATCTCAATACACTCTAAAAAATCTTCACGTATCTGATCTGTATTTATAAAATCTCAAATGTTACGTGACGTTAGTAACTTTGATCTGCATTTCACGTCATGTCCACTGAAAATGTTGGTGAAATTAACCGTATATTCACGTAAACAGATTTAGTGTATTTGAGTTTGTGTGTTTGGGACTTCGATATTTCTGTGAAACGAGATTTACGTGATTTTCAGGTACGCAAAAAAATCAATATGGCGTCACCGAGCGTGGTGGAAGAACTCCTCAAAGATTCAAAATTCCTCAGCGCTTGTTGCAAATGTTGGACGGTAGTTAGATTCTTTTATATTAATTTATTTATGATTATATGTAGCCTTTTTCTAGTTTTATAATTTCAGACGGTGACATCAGCATTTTGAGTCTGCAAACAGGTGTTAATATTTTGTCATAAATAAAAAAAAAGCTCATACACGTTTCTACCAACAATCAATACGAAACTAACGATTTTAAATTGGCTCACTACTTGACTAGCCTATTGGTCCCAAGCAAATCGATTAACGTACCCCATTCTAGTCGAAATTCCAGTACTACGCAATGTTTGTTTTGATTCGCTATGAAAGTTTGACAGATAAAATGAGGGGTTATTGGTGTTTCCTATGTTTCGAGGGGTGAATCGATTAGCTTGGGACCGAAGAGAGTACCAGAGCTGAGCCAAAAAGTTGAGCACGTTATTTCGGGACCTTCTACACAGCAAAAAAAAATGTAATATCGATCAATGTAATTCAAGCTGATGTATGAAATTATGATGTAATAGCAAAAAGCAGATACAATATTACATCAATGGATGTAATTTTGTTCGCAAAATCGATGTACATCGTACAACGTTATATTACACAACCGATGGATTGACCTGGTTGCAGCAGTTTGGATGTAATATTCAACAACTTTTTTTTCTGTGTAGTCTTAGAGTTACCTCTATGTTTCTACCTTATACTAATCAATTAGTCAATATTTTAGAAATTTTATGAGTAGATATAAGTATTAATTTAAACACGTTAAATTTATATCTTCCCGATAAAATTGCATAATATTGACTGGTTCTATATATACTTCCGATTAGTCTCATTAAAAATCCACATACAAATTACATGAAAAGCATTTTAAACCAAACGGAATGTCACGTAAAAGTTACCAGATGTCCAGTAGTTTTCACCCCCATTTCACGTAAGCAGTACGTGAAAATCTGATTAATCACGTAGATAATTGAAGCTGTCAATCGGACGTGAAGATTTTTCAGAGTGTACCAATACTGCTACTTGGGAAAGTTGTAAAGCAATCGGGTGTTGCGTAGCTCATTTAATTTTTGTTTGTGCAACACCGAAGTTTTCGCTGCAACATAGAACTGTCAAATTGTGCATTGTTTTCGCAAAATCACAACATAAAAAATAATACCAATCAACTGCACCAGTTCCAGCAGTTTGTCGAAATTTCAGCGAATCTTTCGTTTAAAATCTCAAAATGGTAGTCCCTTCGGCCACTTCGCGAGACGCGGTCCTGGAACTAATGAGGCAGAAGGAAAAACTCGAACAGAAGATCAGCGATCAGGGAAGAGTCCTCGAAGCGGTAAGTTTAGGCTCAAATTACGCATCGTCATGCTTTACCCGGAACCACCAAACAGAATCAGGTAGGAATGACCGACCCACTGGTGGACGATTCCGGCTTTCCACGGAGCGATATCGACGTTTACCAGGTGCGACAGGCCCGTCATCAGATAATATGCCTGCAAAACGATTTGAAAGCACTGATGAAGCAAATCGAATCCGGACTACACACGGTCCATGCCGAGACGGCTGCACAGCAACAGGAGAACCTGGCCTCGACCAAACTGCTAGCGATGGAGACTGATTCTGAAGCGGAAGGACCGTCGTCATCCAGGAAGGTTCGACCGGTGAAACCGATCGTTAAGGTCAATTTGGTTAGCGAAGGATCTCCGGCACAGGATGCGGTAAGTTGGTTAAATTTTTGAAAGGGTAAATTTTGACTCAACGGGAAATTCTTTCCAGGGTATTGCATTGCGTGACGAAATTATCGAGTTTGGCACCGTCAATGCTTCCAATTTCCGAGATCTGTCACAAATTGCGGTGCTAGTTCGAAGCTGCGAGAATAAGACAGTCCCGGTGAAGGTTCGTCGGGATGGAAAGCTGGTCGATCTTGTGCTCACACCAAAGACCTGGAGCGGACGAGGATTGCTCGGTTGCAACATCGTTCCGATGGATTCCGTGGAGCGTTAGCAATAGCACCAGGGTAGGAGTGTTCTTTTCTCGTTTCGGTAGAGCAATCTAACAGGTGGTGTTATTTTACGATTTAACCGTAGCTTTATTTCCTTTTTTTTTGCCTGTAAAGATTCAATGCAATGTTTTGTTTTCGCTTCAAAGCGCCCCGAAAATTATAGAAATGAGCAAAAATTATCGCTGTTTTATTTCTGCGCGTATGTGTTGCGTACTGACCAACCAGAACTTCACTCGAAATCCGTGCAATTAATCGAAACTCACAGCACATCCACTAAATTGTTCTCTTGTTTTATATTAAATCAATTAAATCATGTCTGACTTCGCGGCCCCCCTCGCAGGAGTTGCGAGAAACTAACATTATTTTACAGTCCCTACTAGCGTAAGTGCTCGCAACAATTGTCGTCAAGATAAGATACCAGGTATACAAAGGAAGGTGTGCTTGCTAACCCTACTATAAAACAAAGTTATAGCTTGTAATAAGTAAACATAGGAAAAGAACCATACTTGTAAAACCACGTCTACTCGTCTGTACTCGCGCTTGCTATCGCGTTCCATGTTAGTAGTAACTACCGTACCCACTCCATTGGCCGTAGTTTCCGTAGCCCGACTGGGAATATTGCTGATTCCACGTACTATAGCCGTACGACGAACTGTCCCCGTACTGATACTGACTGGCCGCGGCACCGTAGTACGATGGAGTGGCTCCGGTGTAGCCATAGCCCCCGGCGGCGTAGCTGGCCGACGTCGCCGCAACAGCTGCACTGGCCGCAGCGCTGCTGGTGGCGGCTTCCTTCGATGACTTTTTCGGCGGGGATTGTTCCCTGGAAACAGTGGACAAAATATGCGTTATGCATTACAACCAAGTGAGACGGCAAACCCCCCTTGAACACTCACCTCTTCTTCTTGGCCTCGTTCGCCTTGGCCATTATCATCTGCAGTGCCTTCTGTGCCTCCTGCAAACCCTTGGCAGTGCTGCCAAAATCCTCCACGAATTCAACTTTCCGCTGGGCAAACAGCACCTTTTGGTCCGGTTCCAGACCGTCGCGCTCCATAAACTGATCCATGATGTCCACCACCTCCTTCTCGTCCACCGTGTCCCGCTGCAGCGACAAATCGATCAACTGTAGCGCCACCCTCGTGTTCGATGGATCCTTCTCCAGGTAGTTCTTCAGCACCAAATGGGCTTGATCGAGATCCTTCTTGATCTTGTTGAGGAACCTAGCATACTTGATGACCACATTACCGGCGATGGTTTTGTTCTTCGCCGTCGTCAGATATGTCTGATACAGCTGGACGCACTTGTCGTAGTCGCCACGACGTCGCTCCAGGTTTATCCTCCTGTAGGCAACCTGCATCAGATTCGGGCAGACTTTTTCCAAGTTTGCCAGAATTTCCGCCCCCTTGTTGGGGTTATTTTGAGTCTCTTCGAAAGCGGACCACATCAGATGGAGGCTCGGTTTGTCCGGGTGATGAATGGTGCAGGCCCGTTCGTAGGCATCCCGAATGCGGGGAATCATCTCCGGTTCATCGGATCGTGCGTCCAGGTAATGGATCAATTTGAGCCAGAAATCATCGTACAAAGCGCAAGCGATCAAGCAGCGCTCGAACAGCACCAGGATACGCTTCTCGTTTCCCAGTTCTATCTCGAAGTCAAGATATTCCTTCCAGTTCTTCAACTGACAGCGCTCCAGGGGCTTAACGTGGAAATACGGCCGCTTGATGCCTTCCTCGTAGCTCCATCGATCTGTAACGGCGGCAACCGTTGCCTTGTGAATCTTCTTGCGCCGGGAAATAATCCTATCCTTGATGGCGTCGGCTTCCTCTGAACTGTTTACATGATCATCTGCTTCCTTCTCCTCTTCTGGTTCGACTTCCATCTTCTCGTCTGTCTTTTCCTCCTCGGCCGGTTCCTTGTTCTCCTTTTCATCTTCCTTGACCTCCTCCCCAGCTGGCTTCGCTACCTTTGTCTCGTCCGTTTCCATCGATTCCGGTTTGTCATTTTCCTCTTTGGATTCCTTCACTTCCGGTTCCTGACTTTTGTCCCGTTTGTCTGATTTCTCCTTCGACGACTTGGACGGTTTGTGTTCATCGTGCTTGTCTTTGCCCTTATCGTGCGACCCGGCACGTTTCTTCTCCTTCTCTTCCTTACGTTTCCGAGCGGATTCCCGCACATATGCCCGCAGTTCCACGAATTCCTCCTTGCTGACCAGCGTATGAACCGGATTGTTGTTGGCCACTTCTTTGAAGCTGCAACGAAACAGTCCTGTGTTAGTTAGTGCCCCTAAAACCACCCAAACTCCGTCCAACTTACTGATCCAAGTGGTTGGCGTATCCTTGGGTGGGTGTCGCCAGCAGTCGATCGTACAGCGCCACCACACGGCCCACGCGTTTGCCCTCGTTCTCCCACTTGATGTAGGCCTCCCAGAGCTTATCCGATCGGAACTCCAATCCACAGGAGACCAGGGCACGCTCGAACTGCGACCGGATTGCCGTTTCATCGTCCGCCTGGTTGGTCTTGACGTGCGTCAGATAGTGGATCCACAGATCCACCGACAGTGGGATCGCCTTCAGACCTCGCTCAAAGACCTATACGCGGCCGCGGAAGAGAGAAAAGAATCCAGATGGCGGAAAAACGAATTTCCGTTGTAAATATTCAATGTATCTCACTTGCACTTACATAGATTTTTGCCTAAACGATACTTTTTTGTGTATACGTTACGAGATAAAGATTGGTCGTAAGTTTGTTTTTTTGTTTGTTTGGTGAGGCGGCGTATTTTTACAGAGAGAAAGAGAGAGCGAGAACTTGGTCGTCACTGGGGTCCCTAACTTCGAGCCTAACATAATGTGAATAATTTACATTTCATAGGTATGTGATGTTGAGTAACCTAAAACACTAGTGGAATAGTTTGACCCTAAGCACAGACAAATTTATGGTGATTATTTGCTCTCTAGTTTCTGGTAGATTCTCTCTCTCTTTCGGGGGGGTTCGGTCTTCTCCGCTTCTGGGACAATCGGGTCATTCCGCGATCCACTGATGATCATCCTAGCAAAAGTGAAAATGGTTTTCACCACGAATGTGAACATGTATTTCATTGTTTTTATACAAACCGTGCTCCTTGGCTGTTGCGGTGACCTGTTCTAAAAAAAAATAATCTTCGAACAAAATACTGTGTGATAATCACGGGGAATGGCCAAAGTAAAGCTCTGCAGTAGATTGCGGATGCCATACGGGGGTTAGTGGCAGATTTTAAATAAGCAATCCTGTACAAGCAGTGGGAACTTGTCCATTGATGCGGCGGGACTTAAGCAAGTTGGTATAGCTTTAAGACCGTCGATCCACCAAGCAAGTACGGCTCAAACAGCGTCTGGCATCTAAAAATGCTTGTCCCCGAAATGGCAGTCCCATTCTGGAGGAAGTTTTTAAATCGACGGGATGTAGAGCGTCTTATAGTTATAGTCTAGCCTGGTTTAATTACAAATAAAGGAGGTTTGGAGGTGAAGAAATCGGCCCTAAGAAGAACAGGGCTAGTTGAAGTGACCAAATAGTGACTAAAAAGTTACCTTAGAGAAGATTAGTAGTCGTTCTGAAGACACACCAAATAAATGATATGAACCTTTAAAGCGAGAGATTCAATAGAAAGTTTATGACCAAAGCCACGGTATTAGCCAGGGTGTCTTCTAGAAAACCGGGAATTCTCATGGAATTTGATTTTTTGACGTAGGACTACGTCTGTGATTTCTATATGGGGGTACACTTGGCGAAAACCGAAAATGGAACATGTAACAAAATTATGAAAGATTTTGAACGTTAATAACTCAGCTGCCCCTGGACCAATTGGAATAATTTTATTACCAATCGATCAGATATATTTCTACGCATCTGATAAATTTAAGACTTTATCATTTTTCAAAATGTCACCATTGAAAATTTTACGAATGTGCAAATGTTGCTACGAAAAGCGATTTCCCTAACACAGATTTCAAAGTTGAATTCCATCCGGTCTCACCAAACGATGTTTATTCAATAACCGCGTGGTGAGTGGTGGTGTTCTCCATACACAACGAAAGGCTGCCTGCAAGCAGCGAGCAGCAGCTCACATGAGCATCCATAGAAGGAGGCTGACGCCGCACCGCTATTGATCGGAATCAGTAGCATTTTTGAGTTGCTGTGGGCCATCTATGTCAAGCGCGTCATACTAAAGAGTATAAGCAGAGAGAACCCCGCTCAAATTCCAATTGCTACACAAAACACAAGCTGTTGCTGCAGTTAACAAGTAATATTTATTATATAAGACCACATAGTCCTACGTCACCATTGCTCACAACCCCATAGGGCTGTCCCTTGTAGTTTTTTTTTTTTTTAATATCTGGTAGACTCAGTCTCAGTCATTATTAGGGTAGGGAGGGGCATAGTGAACAGATGGGGCAAAATGAGCATCCTGTTTAGTCTTAAATTTCTAATTGTTCGACACAAACTAATATGGTATTGAACCTACTACCAATTAATTTATTTTGAACGATTGGAAATTTAAGGCTTAAGTACAGTGAGCATCCCCACCGGTTCACTATGTGCCTCCTACCCCTACTCAAGGGATTTAATAATTTTCTAACTAAGGATATTTCAATGAACAGAATGCATTTTAAAACACAAACATTTGATTTTTTCACGTTATTTTAATTCATACACTGAGACAAAAGAACGTAAGAATTCCATAAGAACCACTTAAGAATTTTAGCCACAAGAAATCGGTATGAACTTCATTGATTTGCCGTATGAAAAATAATGTCGGTAAAACAATAATAAAACGGAACAGACTGGAGCCGAACCATGGACGTTGAGATTATTGGTCCTGTGTCTGGACCACTCGTCTGTATAAGAGCTGTTAGTCGCGCTTATGTAATTCATATGTGTCGTTCATAAGTCGAGCCTTATGAAATCCTATTTGCCTCAGTGTATATTGAACTTTGTAGATCCATAGTTGATTAATCTTCAGTATATCTGGAATATGCATATGCAAACAAGTTTTTTTGAAATTCTGGAATTAAAAATTATGATGGTGTAAATGTCGGCTTCGGCACCCAGTGACCATTTTCGGCAACCTAAATTTAAACGTGAATTTCACTGTATTTTCCCATCAAAACACTTCGCAGAATGTAGTCAAACGATGTTTTTTTTAAATCCTTGTCGGGTGTTTTCATCACTGTGGCCATTTTTCTGATCTGATCTATATAGCTATATCTTGCTGGATCCACAACCTTCATAAGTGGACAAAGGGAATCCGCAATTGACGTGTCATTCGCCAGCTCAGGAACAATCCTATGGAAGGTCATGGAAGACCCGATGGGTAGCGACCACCACCCCATCGAAATCCGACTCGACTGTAGACCAACCGAAGCCTCCCGTAGACAGCGCTGGATCTACAATCAAGCAGATAGGACAAGTCACCAAGAGGCAATCACCGGTACCTGCAGAGAATCCGAACCGACCAACCTCTCGGACTACATCGGTTCAATTTTTCAAGCGGCAACAGACACTATTCCTCGATCTAGTACCATCCCAGGACGAAAAGCCCTGACAAGGAGGTTGCTTTGGCTCACTACCGTGTAAAAAGGAACGAATGTCGGCAAACTATACGGGAAGCGAAAGCCCAAAGTTGGGATAACCTTTTCAACGGAATCAGCCCAAACCAATCGGCAGCCGATCTGTGGGGAAAGGTTAATGCTTCAAGTGGGAAGAGGAGGAAGGAGGAATTACCTGCGATTCAGATACTATTGCCGATGTACTTGGAGAATACTTCGCCTCTCAATCAGCCATAGAAGGGTACGAAGAACGCTTCCGTAGGAAACAAAAGTTGCTTCGACACCCCCAGCATGCCAATTCCAGAGGAAGCAATTGTGCCTAAAATAAACGAACCCTTCCGGGTGAACGACCTCGCTCTAGCCTTATCAAAGGCTAAAGGAAATTCTGCGGGCCCGGACGAGGTGGGCTATCCTTTGCTCCGGAATCTACCACCAGAAGGAAGACGCAAGCTTCTAGATCTAATCAACCAGGAGTGGTCCCGATCCTCAAGCAAGGAAAGCCAGGCAGACAAGCTAGTGATTTCAGGCCGATCTCCCTCACATGCTGCGCCTTCAAAATCGTGGAAAGGATGGTAAATAGGGGACTGATGAACTTTCTAGAATCCAGGGACCTACTTGATCACCGTCAACACGCCTTTCGTCCCGGACACGGTACTAACACGTTCTTCGCCACACTTGCTCAAGCCCTTGACGACGCTACCTCGGGTGGACACCACGTCGAACTGGCAGCTTTAGCTTAGAGCATGGATGCCAGATGTCATCCGGATTTCGTGAAGAATTTCTTGGCAAACCGCACCTTTCAGGTACTTCTGGGCAACCACCGTTCCGCAACATTCCGAGAGGAGACTGGCGTACCACAGGGTTATCGCGGTCACCTTTTTTTTAATTTGTATGAATGGAGTTTTCGTTAACCTTCCTAAGGAAATTTACATCATTGTGTACGCTGACACGACATTATCCTCATGATCACTCACAAAACCATAAAGGCAATCACTGACTGGCTTCCAACTCTCAGCCGAAAAATGCACACTAGTGTACATCTGCTCTCACCATCATGCCGTCCTTAACACTCACCGTCTGTATCAATGGTACAGCTATTCCCATCAGGAGGTTAGCCCGTATCCTCGGAGTTCGAATTGACCGATATTTGACCTTCGAGCGCTTGCAAGACACGTCATAATCTGCTACGATCCATCGCAGGTCGACACCCAGACAGTAACCGGCCCATTCGGCTTTCCAGGGCAAGCAACATTCTGGACGTAAACCGAACCCTGTTGACTGAAATCTGGACCGGAATATCGTGCAAGCTTTCACTCGCAAGCAGAGCGTAAAATTATTGACTGCTTAGGCTGAGTGTGAAATTCATTGCTCTATCCAGACCGTATGTACCAAACGGTAAAGGACGAAGCAGAGGTGGCAACAGTACATTTTTTGAAAAACCATCGTCCAGAGCGAAACAAAACAGCCAGCACACGGGCGGCCGTTTATAACTACATTCCAAGCGAACAGCGGAGATAGAGAATAAATAAAATCTCGCAGCCTGATTTTTCCAAACAGTTTATTGTAATGAAATTTTAGCTGCAGGCTTGCGTGTGACAGTAAATTACCAACTCCCTTATTTACGCATAATTTTAACATCAATGCTTATGAGTGGTCAGTTTTCATTCTTATCTTTTAATTCCATGCAATAAACATCAAATAAATGCAGTAATTAGCCAGAAATCAGCAAAATTCTACACGACATAAATTTATGTCACGCGCGCCGCCGGTCTTGTCTGCTTCTTTGTGCGAAAATGTTCTGTCGCTGGCAGAAAACAGTTTAGAAATGTCATGACATTTTTGCCCCTTGCCAGTTTGTTTTTGTGTGTCGTCAAAATGGTTATCGCAAAAAGTATCAAATGTTAAGGAAAAAATGTTAAACTCCAGGACTCGTGCCACCACTGGGACGAAGCAATGAAAGAGCCAACAAAAACATTCAGTCACTCACGACCAGGCGACTCACCATG